GTAAGTACATTAATGAAGTGGTGGCAAGTTTCATAATAGAGAACTACAATCCAGTGAACAACCCCATCGTATCTTAAACAAAATTAGCCAAAGAAAATGGAGGAGCTCGAGTTGATCCGTCACTATAAAAACAACTGATAAGCGTAGTCTGATGTACCTAACAAACTATGAGGCCTGATGTGATGTTTAGATCTCTTTAAGCAGATTTATTAACTATCCAAAAGAGGCTCACCTAATGGTTGTTAAATGGGTATTACAATACATCAAATGTAAATTAATGTTTAGGTTGCTTTATGAGAAAGGGAACACCGAAAATCTAAAGAGTTATATAGATAGTGACTTTGTGGAAGATGTTGATGGTGCCATAAGTACATTTGGATACATATTTGTCATGAGTAATGTTGCAGTAGCATGGAGTTCAAAAAATCAACCTATTGTGACTCTCTCAACCATATAGACAGAGTATGTTGCAGCTTCTATGTGTGCTTGCTAGAGTATTTGGATGAATAGGTTTCTAGACAACCTCAATGAAGTGCAGAACAAGGGTACAATAATCCTTTGTGACAATAGCTCTTTAATCAAACTTTTTAAGAACCCAGTGTTCCATGAGAGGATGAAACACATCAAGGTCAAGTTTCATTTTCTTTGTGAACTAGTTAAGGAATGAGAGATTGAGTTGGTTCATTGTGGAACGAAGGAGCAGGTCAATGACATCATGATAAAACTGCTAAAACTGGATACATTTGTCAAACTAAAATGTTCAGAGTTGAAGTCATCAAGGAACAAACTAAGTTTCCCACTGCTAGCTCAGTTTGGGTAAGGATGTTGAGAGAATGGGTCAACTCTGATCTATTCACGTCTAGATTGAGATATGACTGTTTTTTAGGAGTTTAGTTGTTGAATAAATCAGCCTTGCATCAATGGCCTATTCATATGCATATTGCTTTCACTTTTTCAATTGAGATATTTTCCAGCTTCTTTTCTTGTAATTACTCTATTTAAAGAGCCTCGTATCATGAATAAAGTGTTCAAGTTTCTTGACCATATCAACGAGTAGAGTACCAAGTTTTCAATTAAATGAGGAGTATTTTGGTTATTTTATATATTTTGTAATAAAAATTAAAAATTAATCCATACTACATAATATTATAAAATATGAAAGGAAACTAAAACCACCCAATTCCTCCAAACCCAAACACAATCGGAAAACCTACCCCCCTTCTCTATCACGGAAAATGTAAAGCCAACTGAAAAACCAAAAACATAGAGGAATTATCTCAAGCAAACCCCCTCCAGCACCACCCTTGCCAAAATTTAATATGACCTTGTTAATAGATTTAATTAGGGGTGAGCATAGGCGGGTATCCACCCTATTTGATAGGAATTGGAACCGGAACCGACGGTTCTTGAGATATTGGAACCAGAACCGGAACCGGTTAGAGTGGTTCTTGAATTTTTGGAACCGGAACCGCCCGGAACCGGAACCCGTTTCCTAAAATATTAAAATTTTGTTATTTAGAAATAAAAAAATAAAACATTGCCAAAACACTAAATAAATAAACAAGAATACAAATTATACGGAATAATGGTTACAAATATTGTTTAAGGATTACAAACCATAATAGACTAATAGTAAATGTTGAAAGTTTAACGATTACATACTGTAATTGTAAATGTTCAAAGTTTAACGATTACATACTACGAATCCAATTAAACACACAATTTGAAAAAATACGAATAATTTTATCTCAAATTCTGAATTTCGTCTCAACTTCTTGCATACCCATCGCATCCTCAACCTCGTACGATAACTTGTGAATAATTGAGTGTTAAAAAAAACTACACAAACTTGTAAAAAACTTGTGAATAATTGAGTGTTTTTAAAACTACACAAACTTGTAAAAAACTTGTGAATAATTGAGTGTTA